TTCAGAGAGGCAGAAGGAAGAAGAGAGTTCAGAGAGGATCAGAACCCAGACTCCAGAGAAGGAGGATGAAGGGGAATGGAGAAGGAGAATGAAGTAGCTGGGGGAGGAAGAATGGGGGCAGAGATAGAGAGACAGATGAGGAGAGAATGAGAATAAACTACGACTAATACCAACCAGCCTGGCCCTCGTTCCTTCCCCCGCCTGACCATCGCCATCGACCTCTCCGGGGTGGTAGAAGGGTGAGACTACCGAACGCGGGTGGCGGGAGAGATAGAGCCGCCGCTGTGTGGGTGCCGTGCCACCTATTTGTGTGAGTTTACACACTCTACCACCTACATTGTATTTTAATGCTATGGAAATACTTCTAATATTTTCCTATTACTGTGTGACAATTTACCACAAACTTAGTAGCTTGAAATAATAATTATCTCACAGTTCCTAGACATGGTATTAGATATCTAGGCATGCTATTGTATAGTTAGATTCTCTAAGTCTCAAAGACATCAAATCAAGGTGTTGACCAGGGATAATTCTCATCTGGGGCTCAAGGTTCTCTTCTAAGTCTATTGACTGTTGATAGAATTTGTTTCTCTGAAGCAATAGGACAGATGCCCCCATTTTCCTGCTGGCTGTCCGCTAAGTTCTCTCAGCATCTAGAGGTCACTCAGTTTCTTGACATGTGGTGTCACTGCTGCTAGCAACATTGATACTTGCTTTTTTTCTGAGTTAGATGAAGCACATCAATCTGGTTTCCCCTTTCACAACTACAAGAACTTTATTGTTAAAGGGCTCTTCTGATTAGATCAGGCCTAACCAGAATTTTTCCTTTGTCAAATATATAACAATATCAGCTGTGATATTGCATAATACACGAGTTCTGCTCAAAATCAAAGAAGAGAATGATACAAGTGAAGTTTACTGGGGTCATCATAGAATTTTGCCAACTGTAGAGTTCAACTTATAATGTATTATAAGTATTTATATATTTGTGAATTAATTGTATTATAAGTATTTAAATAGTACAAGTATTCAATACTTATATAAGTATTTGAAATGTATTCTTTCCTAATATCACTTTGACAGAGTTCTAATTTTTGTTGAGTTTGTCTCTGGTCTTGGCCATTGATGGGATTACTTGGCGCAGGGGGCAGTTGGTGGGTGTGATACCTGCCTACTGGAAGATGGGGGATCTGGGTGGAGGATGCTTAGCCCCAATCCGAGCAGGCTTGGAGATCTCAGCCCCGGGACCCGCATGCCTGGGTTCCTCTATGCATGAGGCTTGTCCGGATGTGTGGAGAGTGGTCTCAGCATGGCTGTGGCTGGTTCTGGAAGTCTTCAGCTGCCAGGGCTCTGCTCGGGGTGGGGAGGGAAACTCAACCTGTCCCCTCCAAGGGGCCCCGGTGAGGATAACCAGGCGTGGGGGGCAGGAGACATCTTATTATCTTACTTTGGACAACTCGGCAGGCTACCGAATGTATCCTGCTCGCACGGCAGAGTCTCCCCGTGGTGTACTCAATATGCCAAATGCCTGTAACAATGATGGGTCTCATTCTCCTAAACCTTAAAGAACATTTCTCAGGGATAGGACGAAGGAGATGTTACTGGTGCCTGCTCAAGGCAATCAACAAACAACAGGATGATTGTGATCATGATCGTTGAGTTTGTATTAGATACAGAATAGCTGAGAATTCTCTTTGTGAGATGGTGTAATGGAACTCCTGATTTAGTAGCACTTGACTTTTTGTTTTTATTTTTATTTTTTGGCCATACCTGGCTGTGCTTAGGGATTGCTCTTTGATGCTCTCGGGAAACACTCTTCGAAGGTTCTGGGAACTAAAAGGAATGGTGGATATCGAACCCAAATTGGCCTCATGGAAGACAAGTTCCCTACTTGCTGTACTATTGCTCTGGACCTTCAGTAATACTTGAATCAAGAAGTGGGTAGTGAGACCTGTTCTCACATTCTACAGGTTATGTGACCTTGGACTGAATGGCATTATTTACCCTTTATAAAAGGAGGGAGGTGGAACTAGACAATGTCTAAGAGCAGTCAGCTCTGTAGCACTGTCCTCCCGTTGTTCATCGATTTGCTCGAGCGGGCACCAGTAATGTCTCTACTGTGAGACTTGTTACTGTTTTTGGCATATCGAATACGCCACGGAGAGCTTGCCAGGCTTTGCCATGTGGGCGGGATACTCTTCGTAGCTTGCCAAGCTCTCCGAGTGGGATGGAGGGATCCAACCTGGGTCGGCAGCATGCAAGGCAAATGCCCTTGCACTATTGCTCCATCCCTGAACAGTCAGCTCTGATATTAGATAATTTCTTAGACTTTATAGTATCAAATTGAAATTTAGCCAAGTGACTCAAAATATCCAACAACATTGAAATAGTTCGCAACTAAGTTCACTAGTACAATAACATAATTTTAAAAGGGAAAGACAATTTTTTGTTTGTTTGCTTGTTTTTGGATCACACACAGCGATACTCAGGGTTACTCCTGGCTCTGCACTCAGGAATTACTCCTAGCAGAGCTCAGGAGACCAAAAGGGATGTTGGGAATTGAACTGGGATGGCTGCATGCAAGGCAAACACCCTACCCACTGCCTGCCCTTTTTAAGACAGTTTTTTTAATGAATAAACAAACTCATGTTTGCATTGGCTTAACCCAAACAGATAGTTTATTTATAAAATATAGTAGTATATTTATGTAGTATATTTATAAAAATATGTAGTATACAGAAAATTGTTTTTTTTTGTCTTGGGACAAGAGAGACATGGTACAGCAGGTAAGGAACTTGCCTTGCACACAGTTGACCCAGGTTCTCTTTGAGCTCACCAGGAATTTTTTTTTTTTTTTTTTTTTGCTTTTTGGGTCACATCTGGAGATGCACAGGGGTTCCTCCTGGCTCTGTACTCAGGAGTTACTCCTGGCGGTGCTCAGAGGACCATATGGGATGCTGGGAATCGAACCTGGTTCAACCGTGTGCAAGGCAAACGCCCTACCCACTGTGCTATCTCTCCAGCCCCAACCACCAGGAATGATTTTTAAGGGCAAAGCATGAGTAAGAATTGAGTACAACTGGATGTGGCTCAAAACCAGTATTTTTGTCTTTAGAAGACAAATATCTCTTCAGTTATGGTCAGAAGTGATTTTCTCCAGATACTAAAAAAGTGGATAAAACTGTCATCCTATGACAAGTTGAATTAAATGGTGATAATTGAACAACTATCAAAAGCTCCTTTAAATAGTATAAATCAATTAATAATTTGACAAGGAATTTTGAGAATCTTATATATACATTTGATGTGTTTAAATCTTTGTTGTTTTTAAATGAAGCCAGGATAATTATTCTTTTATCCCCTCAATCTCCACCAAAAGCTTTCATTTTGAACAGGTTTTATTTTTAAATTTTTAAAAAATTATTATTATTTTTAATAGTGAAACATCATGAGGTACAGTTGTAGACTTACAATATTTTGTGCTTGGGTTTCAGTTATACAATGACTGAGTACCCATCTCTCCACCAGTGCCCATTCTCCACCTCCAGTGCTCCCAGTATCCTTCCCACCCTCTTATCCCCCCCCCCCCCCATTCCACCCTGTCTCTGTGGCAGGGCATTTCCCTTTGTTCTCTCTCTCCTCCTTTTGGGTGCTGTTTGCAAAAGAGGGATTGAGTGGCAATCATGTTCGGTCTATAGTCTACTTTCAGCATGCATCTCTCATCCTAGGAGGATCCTTCCAATACCCTTTATTTGGTGCTCCCTTCTCTATCTGAGCTGCCTTTTTCCCTAGCATGTGCGGCTGGCCTCCAAGCCATGGAGTGAACCTCCTGGAACTTATCTCAACTATTCTTGGGTGTTAGCCTCCTATTTTGTTACTTTATATTCCCAAAATGAATGCAATCTTTCTATATCTGTCCCTCTCTTTCTGACTCATTTCACTTAGCATGATACTTTACATGTAGTACCACTTGTATGTAAATTTCATGACTTCATCTTTGCCAAGAGCTGCATAGTACTCCATTGTGTAGATGTACAAAAGTTTCTTTAACTAGTCATCTGTTCTTGGGCAGTCATGTTTTTTTCCCCCAGATTTTGGCTATTGTGAATAGTGCAGCAATGAACATAGAAGTGCAAATGTCATTTCGACTGTACTTTTTTTCTTCTTTAGGATATATTCCCAGGAGTGGTATAGCTGGGTCAAATGGGAGCTCAATTTCTAATTTTTTGAGAATCATCCATACTGTTTTCCAAAAGGGCTGAACCAGTCGGCATTCCCACCAGCAGTGAAAGAGGGTCCCTTTCTCGCCACATCCACACCAACACAGGTTGCTTTTGTTCTTATGGATGTGAGCCAGTCTCTGTGGTGTGAGATGATATCTCATTGTTGTTTTGATCTGCATCTCCCTGATGGTTAGTGATGTAGAGCATTTTGTCATGTGACTTTTAGCCATTCGGATTTCTTCTTTGGAAAAGTTTCTGTTCATTTCATCACCCCATTTTTTGATGGGGTTAGATGTTTTCTTCTTGTAGAGTTCAACCAGTGCTTTGTATATCCTTGATATAAACCCCTTACCAGATGGGTATTGGATAACTATCCTTTCCCATTCTGTAGATTGTCTTTCTATTCCGGTCACTGTATCTTTTGAGGTGCAAAAGCTTCTTAATTTAAGATAGTCCCATTTGTTTATCTCTGTTTCCACTTAATTGATCAGTGGAGTGTCATCTTTAAAGATACTGTTAGCCTCAATATCATGGAGGGTTTTACCAACCTTGTCTTCAATATACCTTATGGATTTTGGCCTGATGTTGAGATCTTTAATCCATTTTGATCTGACTTTTGTGCATGGTGTTAAGTTGAGGTCTAAGCCCATTTTTTTTTGCATGAGGTTGTCCAGTTATGCCAGCACCATTTGTTAAAGAGGCTTTCCTTGCTATACTTCACATTTCTTGCTCCCTTATCAAAGATTAGATGTTTAACAGGTATTATTTAATTTCACCAAATTGGTCTTTTTGCAGATATATTTGTTAAAGTACCCCTTTATTGACAATGAATAGTTATTAACAAATCACATTTCTCTTTATCTACTGAGTTTAAAAGCATTTATTCTTTTATTAAAAAGTTAAGCCCTCAGGGCAGCAGCAGGAATGCAGTGTTCTTCCTATCAACAGCATTGTACAATGAATGTGAAATGCTTCCAAATTAATACCAAAGGTAAGAAAAAATTTAGAAAATGGACTTATCTTGCCCTCCATTCTCATTCTGCCAAAATGCTACTCTTATTTTATAAAATTCCAAAAGGTGAATGGATCCCTCATTGGTATTTTCATCATTCAGAAGAGAGGTGTCAACATTTATTTGGCACTTTTTGAGTTCAGAACATTCTGAGGGCTGTGTGAAAGTGACAAAAAGAGTATGAGGCCTTTTTCCTTTGCTTAGGAAGATGCCTTTTGGATGGAGGGTGAAAAATCATGAGGGTGTTTATCAGCTTCTAGCATGTCATTGCTCAAGTTTCTGAAGCTGTTTTTCAAGTTTTGAGATGTTTACTCGATGCATCATCAGAAACTGGCCGTTCAAATGAAAGACTGGAATGTCAAATTTATACCTTTCATACCAAGCAGAGTTTTCTGGAAGTGTGATGTCTACCTCCTGTAAAATAAACTGAAACCGAGACAAATTAAGGTCTATATTTAAGAGAATGTGAAACAATGTAATAACTCCAGTGACAAAGTAATCCTTAGATGAGTTCTAGTTGTGAGGTTCTGTTATTTACTTTTGCAGCCCAAATATCAGGACCTTGTTCTTACAACTTTTAAAATTTCTTAATATTCCCTAGCTCCTGACTTGCCTGTTACATTCAGCATCAGGGCACTAGTCAGTTTTCCCTTAAATAAAATATGTTTCAAGTAGGAAGCTGCCTAAGAATCAGGACAGGCATGTTTTGTTATAAGCATAGGAAAGGTGATATAGTTGTTACAGGAAAACACTTCCATGGAAATAACAATTATTAATAATAATAATAATAATAAAAAAGAAAAAAGGTATGGGGGCAAAAGTTTAAAGAAAGCATGAATACTCCACCTGCTTTTTAACTTTGACTCTTATTAAGAGTCAGAGTAAGAAAATCAGTACTGCTCAGAGAAAAACACTTAGGGGTAATGAGTTTTATGGAAATCAGCACTAAAATCTTCCTGAAGAATAGAAAGGGAATTTAAATGAAAAATCATTTAATCTCTTTCCTAAAGAAAGGATATAGCCAGATACTTCATACCACATATACAACTCATTCCATATACATATAAAGCCACATTGTTTAATATTACCTTATTTTTATAAGGCTCCAGAGCTTTCTTGGCTTCATCACAAAGAGGACATGGATCCTGAGGGAAGTAAGAAATATATTTTACCCGAAGAAGGACATGTGACCTAACAAATACCATAAAAAGCAGATTACACTTGTCTTAAAGGGCTGTTTTCTAGAAGGTTAATTACAGTTTTATTCCCACAGCAAAATACTATGATATAACCTTATAGATTCGGAGAGCCCGGCAAGCTACCGAGAGTATTGGATATGCCAGACACAGTAACAACAAAGTCTCCAATGGAGACGTTACTGGGCCCGCTCGAGCAAATCGACGATCAACGGGAGGGCCTTTACCTTTACCTTTTAACCTTATAGATAGCTAGTATTACATGATAAATGGGATCTACACATTTTGTTGTTTGTTTTGCTTTCATTTTTCCCCAGCAATCAATTAATCTAATAACACTAGATGCTTATATTCATTACATGTGTGAATGCATATGTAAAATATATGCATATACAATATAAGCATATTGTTTACATAATAGGTCAGCATAGAATTTTTTGTAGATATATTTAGTACATTTATAAAATTGCTTACATTTTTGTTACTGGATTCATCTAATTGATATCTGGGAAATTAATTTTTTGCTGACATGTAGTTCTAGGGCTTTTTCCTTTCTACATTATGAATACCTTTTGGGGGACTGGAGTAACAGCGGGAAGGGCACTGACCTTGCATATGGTCTACCCCTAGCACTCCGTATGGTCCCTTAAGTCTGCCGGGAGTGATCCTGAGTGCAGCGCCAGGAGTAAGCCCTGAGCATCTCCAGATATGGGCTCCAAACAAAAATACCTTTCTGGTCAGGCTTATATCACCAAAGCAGCTTAAGGGCTTGGCAAGGGAGCCACTGAGTTTTGTCACCCGTTGTCTCCTAACTTACTGAGATGAAGGTGGATAGCCATTGCACGATATTTAAAAAGGAGGAAAACTTTATTTACGTTGGATATTTATACTATGTGTTTTCTCATTACACTGTGTCAGAAATCAGTTCTCAAGACCAATTCTTCACCTGAGAAGCAAGCAAAGTTTTAGTGACTATTCTTGTTTGCACTCTGTAACCACTTTGTGGAGAAATCTATAAAGTTTGCTTTGGCTCATTGGCAGATTTTAAAGCCTTTTCAGCCCATGATTCTGAACAGGGATTAGTGATAGGTTCTTTGTATAAACTCAAAATAGACTAAACACTACTGATGCTTGTTGTATAAATCTACTTTTTACCATGGCAGGAAGGAATAGCTATTATGTAAAAGAAAGTTTCTTCTAGTTTAACCTACAGTTTGATTTGAAATAAGGACCCATACTGGAAAAAGACAGTTTTACTACAGAAAGTTCACTCTGGCCTCAATATTGTCATTAGGATAATTAATCTCATAATATTAAAATGAACAATATAAGTAAACAGATTATCGTCTGATGTTTTAAGATTAGCAAAATTTTCTGAGGAAGTTTTGAAATGTCAGCAGAGAATCTTAAAAATAAAGCAAGAATTGGCTAAATTGAAGAAGTACTAAATGTACCCAAAATTATCTTTTATATTAAAAAACTTTAATTATGCCTTGATCAGTGTTCAAAATATTACATATCTATTTTGTAGTATTTTTATGGAAAAAGTCCATCGAATTTTAAAGAGACTAATAAACTGGTAACAGATCAGATTTCATGGTCTGAATCATTCAGACATTCTTTTCTAGGATTTTTTTTTTTTTTTTTTGCTTTTTGGGTCACACCCAGCATTGCACAAGGGTTACTCCTGGTTCGTGCACTCAGGAATTACTCCTGGCAGTGCTCAGGGGACCACCTGGGATGTTGGGAATCAAACCCGTGTTGGCCACTTGCAAGGCAAATGCCCTACCCGCTTTGCTATCGCTCCAGTCCCTCTTTTCTAGGATTTTCCATAGCACCAGTGGTGCAAATATTTACTGCTGTAAGTGATCCCTGAACACTGATCTGGGAACATTCCCTTAGGACTGCCACATGTGGCCCCCAAAACAAATAAAGTAAAACAAAATGGTCTTCAAACACAGTGTGGAAGCATTTCCTAGTATTCCTAAAAACAAGAAGGCTTTTATGTGCTTTGTGTAAAAAGTATGTGTGCTGGATAAGTTATCTTTATACATGAGTTAGAGTATAATCTGCTCTGAGTTCAATGCTAATGAATTAACCATAAATTAAAGAAAATGTATTTTAAAACATGCACAAGGTTATGTATTGATTAGTTGATTAAAAATATTGTGACCTAAAGCTCATAGGAATCTAAACATATATTCCCCCTAGAAACATTCACTAAGTTAGTTTTTGTGTTGACTTTATACAACATAATTTACAAAAAAATATAAATTATTTCCAGGTGGTACTAATTATACTATAACCTGGTAGTTTTTCCAATGTAGAAGTCTATTTCCAACAGCAACTATTACATATAATAGTTTACCTTATATAATTGTGAGGTATTAAATGTTATTAAGAACAACTCTGATTAGGAAACAGAGTTACTACTGTTGTATCTGTAACTGAGGAAACAAAGTACAGGCTTGAAGAAAGTTTATTCCATTTCTTCCTTCTTTCTTAATTATGCATTTTTCAGCAAATATTTGAATGCTTTATATTTTCATGAATTACCTTTGTGAATAAAGTTAACACAGGCAGAGGAACTTTAGAAGCAGAAAGATTTCTCAAGAGGAATCCAAAGGAGTATCTGGCAAGTTGCATGGCATTTCCTTGAAACCAGAGCATCTTAATTCTACCAAAAGAAAAGCAGACTAGTAAGCTTGTGTTTCCCAGACTTTGGTTTTTACATTATGAACAGTAAGCTGCAGGTCTATGATGGAATTAGAATGATTCATAATTGTTTCTTAGAGTCTAGGAAAGTCAGAGAACCCAGATGTTTGGTAAGACTCCAAGATGCTTCAACCGTCACTGTATTCTAAACAAAACAGTAGAGTGAGGGTGGTGGGAGATCCATATTTATGGATTAGTGTTTGCCTAATAACTTGTTTTTTTTTTTATAAGCAAACTACATGAGTTTGTTCATTTGAAAACAAAATTAGATTTCACATGCAGGTTTTGCTAGCATCCTGATGGTTTCATACAATTTGGAGGTTCCCTGAGATGGTATATTCATAGAGATATTTAATTTTATTAGCAAGCACTCAACATCTGACAATCATCAAGGTAAAGGGAATTATAAGCAGCACAAAATCCCAGCTGAAGGTTAAAGTTATCATTTTTGTGAGATTTGTGCCCCTCTATTACGAGATGGGAAAGCAAAGAGCTGTACTTGGAGGAATAAAAGGAGACAATCAGGCTGAGTGAATTTGTCAGTCACAAAAATCTACTTCTCTCTTAAGAAGTACTTTAAATGGATATTTTCATAATTTTTATAAACCTCATATACAAATGTATTAGTGTTCTAGTATAGATATTTCAATCAGAACTTAGTAATAGCAGCATGTCAAACACTAGGCTTTGGGGCTTCCTCATCGTCTACTTAGCTTAACCCAATCTATTCTTATTCTGAATAGAATTTTTACTCATTCTATTGAGCTTTGTTCTTCAAACTAACAACATGATTAATTTAACTTTTAAAACACATATACACTACTGTTTATATTATTAGTATTCCCAAGATTATGTCATTCCTGGATCTTCCTGGATCTTCATTTCTTAATTATCCTTTATTCCATCTGGTTTCACCTACCATTTCCCCCTCCCTTATCTTGGCAAGTTGCAGCTACAAAGATTCTCTTTCTGTTTCTTGACAACTAAGATTATGTCTTCATCAGCATCTTTGTACTTGATGTCTCTCTGCATGAGAAGCTCTTAAGTAGCTTTTCTTCCTTTGGCATGGATTCATGTTACCTACTCTCCTAAGATAGCTCAGTGATGACTACTTTATCCAACATTATTTTCTTCATACCTTTTTTTTTATAGTTTTTACATTTATTTTGTCCTTCACTTTCTAAAATTAAAATTCTAAAATATATTTTTCTATGTATGTCCCCACTAATACAATGAATTTCATAGTATCAGGTTGTTGGTAACTTCAGTAGTCCTGAACATCTATAATCAACCTGACACATAGCAAGTAATTAAACACTTCTTTGAATGTCCAAAATTTTAGAATTTTGCCTTTTTATTTCTCTTTAGTCAAATCTGTAATTCTTACCAGACAGTGTGCATATCAGTTATTATTTGGACAGATCTTTTTTGGGGGGAGGGAGTCATAGGGGTTGGGTTTTGGGGCCACAACCAGTGGTGCTCAGAGACTGTTCCTGGCCCTGTGATCGGGAGTGACCACATGTAGGGGTGGGAATTATAATCAGGGTTTTGGCCAACATAACCACTTGTAAGGCATGCATGTTACCATTGTACTACCTCTCTGGCCATGAACAGATTTTTTTTTTTTTTGCATTATCATGATGAAACAGTTACAAAGCTGCTCATGATTGAGTTTCAGTCATACAATGATCCAACACCCATTTCTCCACAAGTGTCCATTTCCCACCACCAATAACCTAAGTTTCCCTCCTGCCATCTCCCAGCTCCCCCAGTCTGCCTTGGTGGTTCTATGACATGTACTTCCCTCCCTCTCCACTTACTCCCCTTTTGGGCATTATGGTTTGCAACACAGATACTGAGAGGTTACCATGTTTGTTACTTTACCTACTTTCAGCATGCAGTTCTTATCCAGGGTGATTATTTCCAACTATCTTTGTCATAATGTTCCTTTCTCTATCCCAACTGTCTTCTCCCTCAGCACTTGTGGCAGGTTTCCTTTTACAGATCTTATAACTAAAGGTAAAGGTAAAGGCCCTCCCGTTGATCGTCGATTTGCTCGAGCGGGCCCAGTAACGTCTCCATTGGAGACTTTGTTGTTACTGTGTCTGGCATATCGAATACTCTCGGTAGCTTGCCGGGCTCTCCAAGAGGGGCGGAGGAATCGAACTCGGGTCGGCCATGTTGGCCGCGTGTAAGGCGAACGCTCTACCCGCTGTGCTATCGCTCCAGCCCGATCTTATAACTAAAGGATAATATTCCTCTGAAAATCCATAGAATTGTTGACAAGGGCACTTCCACAGGCCCCAACTCCTTCATCACCATCTAGAATCTCTCATTACTTTGTTCCACAAAAGCATGCATAAAGCCTGACTATATTAATTGTGTTAATCTCTATTAGCAAACAGGCTCCTCAGTGTAAGATTAGCCTTAAATAATTAAATAATTAACTCATTAGAAACAATCTTAAAACTGTAGAAAAAAATCCAATACTTTTCAAACTTTTTAGTAAAGACTGGGCTAGAGCGATAGCATAGTGGGTAGGGCATTTGCCTTGCACTCAGCCAACATGGCCGATCCGAGTTTGATTCCTCCACCCCTCTTGGAGAGCCCGACAAGCTACCGAGAGTATCTCGCTTGCACGGCAAAGCCTGGCAAGCTACCCGTGACGTATTCGATATGCCAAACACAGTAACAATTGTCACAATGGAGACGTTATTGGGCCTGCTTAAGCAAATCAATGAACAACAGGAGGACAGTGACAGTGACAGTAAAGATAACAGGGTAGAAAGATCTAATACTTAGGACCTAAGGACTCCTCAATGGAAGAATACTTATAAGTGTGAAGCTTTGTCTTTTATTCCTGTTACCTCTCCAAAAACTGAATGTGATCAAAGCAGTACTGCTATTTAGGATCCCTGGCATCATAACAAAGTGTATGATCTCCAATGCACTATAAACAAGTGTATGCAAACTTTGTAAGTAAAGTTATCTCTGGTGAATACCAAAACTAAGTGTGCACCATCACAAACAAGTGTAGGCCTTCCAATTAGCACTGCAAGCAAAGTACCAATAAGAGTAAGCACCAAAAAGAAAGTATATTACCTCCTGTGCACCACAACCAAGTGTGTGATTCCCCTCAACCACCTCCCTCCCCATCACCACAGTACTAATAACAACAAAACAGAAGGAAAGGGAAAAGACCAGATATGATCCACAAAAGAATCTTTCATTCGTAAGCCTTTATTCTTCTACTTTCCCCCAGATTTCTCTGCTAACTCAGTGATTCTAATAAGATATAAACAAGGTCTGTAACAAGAATTTTGCAAGGATTTGCAGCCCAGAATTATTCTAAGGTGGAAAGTGGATGTAAACAATTTCACAATATGCTGTGCTACTCTCATCTATGTGTGATGCTCTGACAAACACATTTTCCATACATTCAGCAAAATCAACAATTCTAATAGATGAATGTGGTTTTTTGTTTTGTTTTGTTTTTGTTTGGGGGGGCACACTGTTTTGTTTGGGTGGTGATCAGGGCTTACTCCTGACTTGGTGCTCAGGGATGATTCCTAGCAGGTCTTGGGGCCCATATCAGTGCTAGGGATAAAATATGGGTTGGTAGCTTGCAAGGAAAGCACCCTACCTGTTGTACTACCTCTCTAGTTTTAGATGGATGTAGATGAAGACAACAATTCTATATGGCTCTGTCTATATGGGATATACATTTAGTGGAAAACAGCATGTTAGCCTTGTATAAATTTCTGCAGCATTGGTTTTGAGAAAGGCCTATGTCAATCAATAGTGATTCACTCTGCCAGGATGTGGAATTAAAGAAGCTATATACATGAAAGAGCAGGAATTTTTAAAAATTAGTTTTATTATAGAACACTTAGAAAAACAGACCTTGAAATGAAAAGATAATCATCTATGGCAATGACTAATGACAATTACTAGGACAGTGAACTGCAGCTCATGCTTTTGGTAGAAGGATTTAAGATTTTTTGATGTCTAGTTGGTGGTAAGGCAAGAACAACTTAATTGCTTTTACCTAGCTGAGCTGAGACTGAGGTAAGTGTTAAGGTGTTAAAAAAATCACATTCACAATGGAAATCTGCTTCTGTACTCCAATATGACAAAACACAGCATGTGGTCTTCATTGTATCCAAGACAAATAAAACCTGTTATAGTAAACAGAGTTGCTATTCATTCCAAATTTGTTACAATATTTGTTCAACCAACCTGAAAGTAAGTAAGGTCTTCAGTGATGCTATAACCCTTCTATTTACAATGATTTCTCTTTTCTACTGTAATTCTCTATTTCTTCTTTTATGCATATATTTAATCACTTTACCATGGCACATTTGTTCACTGAGAAATAAATTAGAATTATTATTTCAGATTTACTCTCCACATACTTTTCAAATGCCCTTAAGACACATGCATTTTACCATAGTGCTAAATTGAGGTTCTTTTTAAGCATTGTATTAAAAATTATATTAGAGTCTGTTCTAAGAAACTGCTTCATACAACTCTCCTAGGCAGAAATGAAATATTAAGGCTAAAATTCTGAACACTGAAATTCACTTCTACAAATAATGAGTTAAATGAAAGATGACACAGTCCAATTGGAACTTTATAATATTCTTCTTAGAATGTTTTACAAACTCTGTAAAACCTAATATCATTGTTGTCAATGTCACATTCACCAAATCATGCCTTCCTGAAGTAAAATCTTAAAATGGGCTATTCTATCAATGTGACATTTTCATTAGTTCTATTATTTTTAACAGTTATGAGCATTATAAAAAATATCCTGAAAGGTGGTCTGCCTGATAGCTCATGACTGTGAGTGGACAACACCCTTTTGATTAAATCCGTGACTTCAGTCATGAAATGTATATACTTATTATCCACAGAGACACAATTTTTTCTTTTGTAGTTTGTTATGTGCCTTTGTGATAA